TCCACATCCTCTCCAGCACCTGTTGTTTCCTGACTTTTAATGATTGCCATTCTAACTGGTATGAGATGGTATCTCATTGTGGTTTTGATTTGCATGTCTTGATGGCGAGTTCCATCTCTTTTCAAACTCTCTGAACTTATCTATTATCTTCACCTTCCTATGCTTCAAGGACATGAACCTTCTTACCTTCCTCCTAAACACACCAGGTTCTCTGTGCTTCTGCTTTCACTCCTACAAAACTGCCACCCATTCTTTAATACTCAACTCAATCATCATCTAACATATTTCATAAATCTTTAACTCAAAGTGAGTAGCTGACTTTGTGATCACACGGTTATAATTCGTATTTCTATGACAACATTCATCACATTATGTACTCATGATGTGACTACTTCACTTCTCTCTGTGCTACTTACGTTCTAGCACATAAGTAGCTAAAATACATATGTTTTAAATAATTTTAATGTAAATTCTAGTTTGACTCTATATTCAAAGTATATCAATGCTTATTTGTGTGCATTCTATTTTGAAAGTATTTAATAGTATTATAAATCATATTACTTGTATCAAATATAAAAGAACTTTAACTTTTTTGATACAACCTAGATTATAGATATGATTTGTTTTGTTTGGTTTGGCTTTGGTTTTGTTGTGCCTGAGTGACATATCTATGGAGATGTTTATTGTTAAATTAAAACACATGAAAGTTCTCAACTGTTTTAGGATTTGTTCTATTTTAGGGTTTGTGTCTACTGGTAGCCTGTCAAGCTATCAATTCTTACTGCTGATGATGCATCTTTCTGCAGAAGATGTCAGACAAACCACACAATATTTTTACACAATTTACTATGAGTAAATTAACTAGTAAAGTAAAACTAACCTTATTTATTTTGTGTACAGTAAAAGTGAATGATGACCTGGGGGCTTTCTTATAAAACAAAATATTTAAACTTTAATGTTTAGACTGTTTTTTCTCTGTTGGGATCTAAAAAAACTTTTTTTCAACACATGTTTTGTTATTCTACTTAAGATTTATAGTTAAGTGACAATAAAATAAGTAAAATGTTCTTAAAATATATTCATCACGTGTCAGCATAAAAAGACACTTACTGATTTTTACCGAGTATTTAGCATTATACTTTCTTCGTGTTAAAAAGATAAAACTCCTGCTGTCAAGGATTTTGGTAAGGGTGATAAATATAAAACTAAACTGTTATAAAATAAGGTGACTGCACAGTGACTGGGTATGTATAAGAGTTATAAAGTCAAGAATCAATGTTTCTGTATAGTGTCATAGGAAAAGGAAGTAGTGGATGCTTTATTAAAGTTACCTTGGAAAATTTTTATATTATACATTCTTGCACTCCTTCCCATAGCATTTGGGGAAGAAAAGCCCTCAGCATATGGATATTTTTTTAAAAAAGTTCTCTAGGTATTATAAATCTGACCTTTCTGCTTATACCCCTATAGGAAGTCACATTATGTGAGAAAAAAAGACCCACATTATCTCCTAAGTTTGCTTGAGGCCAGGAGTTGGAGAAACCTTCTGAGAGGAAATAAATTTTGAGTTTAATTTTGATGTGTTAGTAGGCCATTAACAGTCTGTAATATCTAAGGGGACAGAGGCATTAGAAATGTAGCAATTGGGATGTGTGAAGAAGAAGTAGAACAAGCAGTTGGAAAGCTAGACAAAGATTACATAAGCTTTATGAAAAGTTAGGAATCTCAAATACTTGTACTGCAAGGCAACTGTGTTGTCTTTAGCTAATTCAGGGTGGATACTTTTATATCCAATAGTCCCAGTGATAGCAGTGGGGAAAAATATGACACCAGAAGTCATTGCCATGCACTGTAGCTGAAATTGTGTCTGGGAACATTGTGAGGGAGAAAGGTGAGCATGATGTTGTTGATGAATTATGGAAAACTTTTAAGGTAATGAACAACATCCCTTGAGCTACTGATGTCTCAGAGATTTTTTTTTTTTTTTCAGCTACAAAGAGATATGTCCACATTATGGGGGAAGGTGAAGCGATTATTTTGTAATTACCAAGTAAAATTTCACAATTTTCTGTCAAGTACAAGTTATCTATTGGGACCATTTAACAAATAAATATGATGGGGATGTTAATATTGTTAACAGCTAATATTTTGAAGCTAATATATTTCTGGCATTACATTAAGCATTTTAGCTGGTCAATTATTTCACAATTGCCTGTATTAGTCCACTCTCATGTTGCCATAAATAACTCGAGACTGGGTAATTTAGAAAGAAAAGAAGTTT